CCTGCTTTGCAGGAAAAAATCCTGTCATATGGAGAAATGACATCCCAATGCTCAGAGCAGTCGCTGGTGCTGGGATAGCAGATGCTGCCTTTTCCTCTCCACACATACGTAACTTAAATATTACTGACCCAATTTTAGACCTACTCTGACACAAATTCATTTCCATGCTGAAATGCCACATGCAAAGTTTAGCCAAAGGCAAATTTTTATGGACAACTTAGAAGACCCTGCAGACAGGGTTTGCAGAGGAAAGAAAGACTAACAGAACAACCAACATGGCAGACACTATCATTGTGCCATTAGTACCTAAAGGGCAGAGATATATTAACACTTCTGCTTTAAATAATTATTTATTGTGTGATAAGTGCTGGAGTTATTCTGCTCAGTAAAAGACACATGTAGCCATTGTCCTAGAAAACTCTCATGAAGAAGCTTTGAAACTGCAAACATCTCTGAGTATCTTTGCCTATGACCCAGAGGACTCACTGGAGGTTCAGGAGCATAGCTCTGACTAGAGTCAAAGAAGAGACACAAAGAAGATGCCGCACATCAAAAGACACAGAAAAGACAGAAAATACACAGCTTTTATATACTCCCATAAAAAACATATTTGCTTCCCCAAAGTGAAACTTAAAATAGGGATCTCTTCTGACAGCTTTGGAACAGGCAGAGAATGGCCACTTTTTCTGTGCTTCTAACATATCTCTGTTAGAGAGAAAGGAGAAAAAGCCTCACCTCAAATTGCCCTGGAGGGTCAGTTCCAGGGAAAGAGAGTAGTTCATATCCCAGGCCAAATCAATCCCTATGCTTTCTACTAAGAATACTAATTATGATAGCTTTCCTGAGCTGGAAGTTACCCACCAGAAACAGGAGTGATGCCACAAATGGATTGCCAAAAGCACATGCAGAGACTGAGCCTCCTTTTTCAGAGGCTTTCCCTGTCAGCCTGCTCCAGTCATGCCCATCTCATATGCATGATATGGTCCATATGAGGACACCACAAACTTTGTCTTTCTCTTCTTTGTGAGGTGTATGAGAAAGGCAGAGGGGCTCATGTTCACCAGAACTGAGCAGAGAGCTGTGTACCATTACTGGCCTAAGCAACTTCTTGGTCTGTGCTGGACTGCATAGGGCAGTAAATCAGCCTCTGCAAGCCCTCACTCTAGACTATTCCCCAGTTCTAAATCTTTACTCCACTATAAGTAGCTGGATTCAATTTGTTGGCATAGAATGGGATGCCTACTTCCAATGACCCCCCCAAACTCATCGAGTTTCCAGTGTAATCTCCAAGAGTGGAATGCACACAAATTAAGCAAGCTTCCAAAAGATACTTTCTAGTCGTAGCTGACATTTGTCATATTGAGCAAGCTGCTCTGGGCCTTAAACAACTTATTTAATCTCTTCATTACCACCTTCCAGAATTAAAATAAAAAAATAGCAATTCTACTTCACAGTACTAACAGCTGTAAAATATTCAGAAGCACAGTACCAGTACAGATTTTGTCTACATCCACTACATACACTTCTTTCTATTAAGGCCTAGAATAAATCTGTAAGTAGGGAACTACATTGCTCAAAATACTGTGTGTGCTTAAACAAAATGAAAAGGGTCCCACATCAGAAGGTATCAGCCAAAGTCATTGTCTTTGTATTGTGATTTACCCCATATCTCCTGATTCTGAGTGATGCTGAGAAAATGATAGGAAAGAAAAAATAAGCACAGTGTGCAGGTAAACACTTCAGACATGCACAAAAACTAAACTTCTGAACCATCTGCAGAAAAGTGGCAAAATTTTAAGAACAGTTCAGCAGACGATTAAAACTGTAGAGGAAAAGCATATCTCTACACATCCTTATGGGCAGAGTACCTGCATTAGTTGTTCTAATACTCTTTTCAGTTCCCTCTGAGTACACTCAAACCTGCAGGTTAGAATGAACAAACTGTGATAAAATATATGGCTGAAATGACTATTTAATGCACTTGTCACAGATCTTTATTCAGTATAGCAAAACTGCACTTTAAATTAAATACTGTGGAGACCTTCCACTGCTGGAAGCTCAACTTTTACCTATACAAATGTACATCAAGATACCATAAAACATTTTCCCCAGACTGTGTGTGCATATGTGTTATCACTGGCAACAGATGCTTTGTTGAAATTCTGCACAGTACCCATTAAACAGCACAAATAAAAACCAATTGGCCTCAAGAGGTTTAAACAAAGAAAACTCAAGGTATCTCACTGGAATCACTTGAAACCTTTGACATAAAACAAAGCATGCCCAAATTATGTTAAAATGCTGTGATCACTGCATCACTTGATCTGGATAATCAGACATCCCCTGTTCCCTAGTTCTGAAAGTACAAGCTGGTATGACAGAGGGCTCAAGCCAATAAGGGTCTTTGATGCTTGAAAGTAAAATATTTCTGGATATACAAATCTGGGTGAGACATATAGCTCACTAAACAGTGGATGAGGTGAACTGATGTGTAACAAAAACAGATGCAAATCACGGAACTAAGAGACACTTAAAAGAACCAAACACTAGGCAAACTTAGAGAAAACACAGACACAGTTTAAAATTCATCCATCTTCAGGAATATGCTTCTATTTGTATTCCACAAAGGTCTGGAAACCTCTCCTGAAGATAGCTGTCTACAGCTTTCCTTTCAAGAAGCTAAGAAGACTTCTCCCATTGTGTGAGAAGGGGATGAGCCTGTCCAGGTGAGTTACAAGGGAAAAGACAGTGTTGTTCAGCAGCCAGATGAGTGTACCGCTGCGAACAATCCAGAGCTAGGAACAGCAGCTGCTCATATACATGGGTGGATTTCATGACATGCTTCCCATCTGCATCGCTCCTGGTGGTGTCAGTGTCATTGTGTAATGCCTGTGAGGTTAGAAAACACTTGGAAAGTGGTGAACCTTTGCTCTAACTGCCTTCTCTGCCTCAGCAGGGTCAAATTCTGATTTACAGGATACTGTCCTTCTTGCCAAGCTCAAGGCAAACCATGAACAGTCATGATCCACTAGTAGTGTTCAGTATCTGCCACTCATTCTACAATTTATAGAGGGGGAAATCCAGCCTTTTACGTACACTTTCTCAGGTGATGAATATACTTTATATACGTATTATATTTAATGACCACTGAATGAAAAATATACAATCCTGGGAGCAACACAGAACCCCAAGGTTGTATCTTTTTATATCTCCACCTTAGATCTACATTAATTATACTTCCTCAGGGACAAGGAAAATGCTTCACTTATAGACACCAGTAATAATTAAGCCTAAGACAGAGACCAAGCTACTGGTCCATCCCAACTGGACTGGTGCCAGTTCATGAATAAGACCTTAACTCTAGACATCTACAGAACTTTTAAGTGAAAAAATAAGGTTATATTGAAGTATAAAGGGGCATAGCAGCAGATGAACATTTTCAGGATTACAGTGTTGAATTTCAGCAACTACAGCTAAACTGGTTTCAGTTTGACAAATCCTTTACTGCCCAAAGCCAGGCACAGCATAAGCAACTAAGTTTGAAGAACAGTGCGGCCATGCAAATAATTTAAATTACTGATCTTTAATTAGAATGGGCATTACAAAGAATTACTTCTATTTTGCATGTGGATGCACCAAAAAATGTTAGGAAGCATGAAATGTGGCTATAGGAAAGCCCTTGAAACACAAACTACTGTATCTACTGTAATTGAAATGGTTACTCTTGAAACACCACTAAGCCAATTCAGAAATTTTAGAAGCTCCTATCAGTTTCTCAATAAACACAAATTTACTGCATCATGTCTTCTTAAATGCAAATCGATTTAAGTGTACTCTGAGTTTTTCAAACTCAGTGGTATACTACCAGCCTAGAACTCATCTAAGCATAGCACAGCTCCACCCTTATATCACCAGTAATAAACTGTATCACATACGAAAGAAGCAATGACAATTTAGTGGCTACACACGTCATCTTTCTAAACACTTTCTTAAAAATATCACTTGAAAGTTAATTCTGTGTTACTGTGTAACAATGTTCTGCTGAAACTGATACTCTGTATTAATAATAGGTTGCATTGTTCATTTTTGGGGGGATGGGGTGTTGACTTCTTGTCTAGGTTTTTGTTTGTTTTTTCTCTAATATCTCATTTTTAGGACAAGAGGATCAACAGTTATTTCATCAGCTTTCAGTTACAGAATAATGTTGAACATAAGGTTTTGGGAATACAGCAGAGCCAGCCAGAACTACAGGGGCTACCATCCTACCAACAAGCCTTAGTGTTCAGTTCCAGTAAATAAAGCAGACAACCTGAGCGCTGCCGGCAGGACTCCGGCCAGCTGTCTGGGAGCTTCTCTGACAGAGCCTTTGAACAACTGCCAAGAAGCTGCAGTTTAAATGGAGCTGAAGTATTTTTTAAAGGGAAAAGAAAAAAAAAAGAAAAAGCCAAATAAATGTGAGATTTGAACGCTGAAATATAAATTAAGAGCCCATACATCCTGCTGATGGTGCTTTTTACAATCACCTTACAAGCTACTTCACTCCCCCCCTCCATCCGCTTTCCTGATTCACTCGACTTTAGGAAAACATCAAAGCAAAAAAGTTGAAATTCCTCCTAATTCTGAGAGGATGCCTTACAGGATCACTGAGAGCAAGGGAAGTTTGGCAGAACTCTCGCGAGTGTCAGGAAGCGCTGGACGCGCTCAGCTTGAGCCACAGAAATCCCGGTGCCGCTAGATCGCGGCGGCCACTGCCGCCTCCGATGACTGCGGGGCTGTGCCGGGGTCCCGCTCCGCCGCAGGAGCGCCCGTGAAACCCAGACCACGCCGCACTGAGACGTCCCTGGGCCGACAGCAATGACCGACAGGTCAGGCTTGCGGCGAGGGAGCAGCGGAGAGAGGAGCTCGAGACTCGCGTTCCCTCGAGCGGGCGAGTGCGGCCAGTCCGCCCGGGGGCTGCGCGAAAACGCCCGGGGCCGCGCATCCCCACCCAGAGCCATTACCTCGATGTACGGGACGATTTTGCAGGAGAAGTCTTCTAGGAGCCACTTCTTGGTGAGCTCCTGGAAGATGACCAGCGGCAAGCAGAAGAAGACGATGAGGAAGTCCCAAAAGGCCAGGTTGGCCAGCAGGGAGTTGGAGATGCTCCGCATGTAGTAGTTGTGGCAGACGATGCACATCACTGCCATGTTGCCCATGATGCCGATGCCGAAGATCACTACGGAGAGGCACATGACGGCGTAGGCGCCGTAGGACTCCTCGGTCAGCGGGTAGAAGGGGTTGCGGAGGCGGGCGCGGCGCCCCGTGGCGTTCCCGCGGCCCCCGGCGCTGCCCTCACCGCCGGCCGAGCCGTTCAGGGGCAGCCAGCGGGGCCCGCCCGCCCCGCCCCTCTCCGCCGCCGCGCTGGCTCCGGG